GGAGTTGGTGTTTTACAGAGTTTCTGTTTTAATTTAGTCTTAATAGGCTTAAGGCTTTGCATTTTATTAATGAAAGCCCATTGCAATTGGCCCAAAAAATGAAAAAAAAAATTAAATTTTAAACATACCCATTTAGTTTCAGTAGCTTTTTTTTTTTAATGCAGAATGCATGATTGCAGTTTAATTTGTTGGTATGAAAGGAATCGAAGTTTTTTTTTTTTTTTAAGTGAAACAAGGAATAGTTTGAATTTGAACATTTTTTTTCCCGTTTTGTCCCGGTCCCGAAACGTTTTGTCCCGGTCCGGATCGATACTGATCCTTTTGGGATGAGGTCTCGTCCCGGACAGGTTCAAAAAACTGGGACAGTACCAGGATAGGTTAAATTCTGGACCGTCCCGGACTGCGCCCACTTCTAAAAGATAACAACTTCTGGTCCGGGAAGAGTCCAGGCAAAAAATCAGCATCACAGGAGAGAAGATGCACCAAAAAGGTAGGCACGACTACACAAATCTGAATGAGGGGTATCCCATCTGGTTCATCCATATAAGGGTACGAAGGCTAAGAGGAATATCGTCAGGATAGAGTATGCGCCTCTGGGGGGTGGAGCACCCGATGCCCGCAGGAAGTCTGCAGGTTGGTTCCCCTCGCAGAAGATGTGCGAGATCCGAAAGTGAATCGACCGAAGTGTGGCTCTAATAAGCATGAGAGGATGTTGATTCTGCCACGTGCCCTGATGGCCAAAAGTCAAGAGACATGTGACAACGACAACATTAAACTCTATCCAAAATGTGAGAGGAGATCGAAGCAGCAATCTGAAGACCGATCTTAAGCGCCTGAACCTCCGCATCATAGATTGAACAGCCCGAAGAGGGGCATGAAAAGCGATAATAAGAGCACCGCTATGGCCCCTAATCAGACCCCCACTTCCGGCGACTCAGTAAGTCGGTCAAACGATTCGTCAGTGTTTAGCTTAACCCAAAGAGACTCGGGTCTCAACTAAACAACAGCTCTGGGCGAGGATGCTGGACATGCGGCAATGAGGGTGGTGCAAAGCGATGAAGTGGCATGCAGCCTGTCCAGTCTCTCGGCGTGAGTCTGCCCAGAGATGTGAGGAGAGAAAGATGTTTGTCAACCTGCAAAATAATGTGAGAACACAAAAAGGTAATATCCTTATGCTTCGCATTATTCTTTTTTGTTTAGGTGGACCAAAGGATCATACAAGGAATAAGGAAGCCCGCGTGGGCTTCGCCTCTTTTGGGTGGTGGGATCTGGGCCTCCGATTGGGCCCCTTGTGGTGGTGTTGGGCGGAATGCGAGTCCTCAGAGGGGTGGAGCTCCGGTCGCTGCAGCTTTTTGGTCGTGGTGGACGGGGTTGAGGGATAGACCCACCTTCACCCTCCCCTGCTCGGCTAGTGGTGTTAGGTGGCGGGGGAACCTGAGATCGGCTAGTGGTGTTAGACGAGTTTGGGTGGTTCGGTGTGGAGGCTGGTTGATTCTCTTTCGGTTGGAGACGGGTCAATTCGGGTGTTGATATCATTTTCTGTAAGTCGGATTAAGCGACACTAATCCGTTGATCGAGACCAATATGATGATGATTAGAGTTCATACAAGCACGAGACACTTCCACCAGCTTCGAGATGATTACACAATGAAAGATTCAGCAGAAACCGACATCCTTACTAAGTTGACCGATATCACATGTCGGTCAACACATGTCGGTCAATACATGTCGGTCAACACATGTCG